TATTTATGAAATATTTTATTCTTTTTCATATTATGTATTTTATGCATACATTACACATCTCAGTTGAAATTAACTATTTCAGGTGCCTGATATCTACGTATGGTTAGTTATTGACATATCTGTTAACATAACTCTTTAAGAGTTGATAAACATAATAAGGAAAAATACAAGAGGCCAGAAAATGTTTTACACATTATTCAGTCTTTTAAAGCTGTATAGATTTTTTCTTATGTAAAGAACAAAACTTGTTTCAGCAGTACTTAAAAATGGCAAAAATAAATATTGCCAGTTTTGAGCAAAATTTCTGAGGTTGTTGGTTATGCTATTTAATTGTACTCAGGCTGTTAAATAGAAATTATTCTGAAATAATCTTATTTTCTACAATATTTAAGGCAAAATTATTAAACTTAATAAACCCTTTGAACACATTCTGAAGGTGTTTTTGATGGCTGAATGTTAATGCCTTTTGCTAATTTCACAAATGTTCTTTAACTTTCTCACCGTAGTAAATCTGGAAAGCAAAAAACTTTATGTTTGTTTTTGCTGTTTGAAGGAGACAGTAAGGAAACAGTAAACTTGAGCTTTTAGTCTAGCCACTAGCCTGTCTTTGTCTGTTGTTAAAATTATGAGCCAGTCTCTATGGCTGCAGCCAAATGAGTAATCACCAGTAATGTGACTCGTGCTGGAAGTGACTCCATCAGCACCTGTGACGGCGGATTAGTTACAGTTTACAGAGCACCGCCTCTTCCCTTCTCTCAGTGTGCCCTTAGCCAAGTACTCGTTCTCATTTGGGTGTCTGCACTGTTGGAAGCTACTGCAGTGTGTTTCCACGCGGAGTACAGTGGGAAAGGCTTTCTCTAACTGATGGATGGCTGTTCTCTTTATTTGGAGTATCTTACTGGTTATGTAAGCGACCTCGGGAGAAATTATCCTGACCCAGATCGGAGGATGCAGTGGTGCTTCAGCTGCAGGATTTCTTAGTCGTTAACACCACAGTGCTGATGACAAAGAGCGAGTTGTAATCCTCATCACTGCCCTGGCTGTGCCGGAGCAGACAGAAAATCGTCATTTGCTCGTCGGAGACTTGTTAGGTTACAGCTTCTGCTTCATTCTGTGGTCTTGGCTTTTCTTCCTATACAATGACGCCGCTGCAAGAGGGCTCAGAAATGCCTGGTTTGAAAGCTGTTTGCTTGTGATTTTGAAGACTAAAGAAGTATTATGCCAGAATAAATATACTGCTCAAGAACGAAATATAAACGCCAGCTGTACTTATTGACCTTTAAAGCCTTGTCGTGGATTTCTTAGATACTTTCAAATTCTCAAGAACAAAGTACGGTTTGTCTTTTTTCTGCTTTCTTTTTCTTTTGTCTTAATTTACATTTGGTTTTGCTTCTTAGTCTTAGGAATTAAGGTCGCTTGCTGCCTTTTATAGTCCTAACCTCAGTGTTCTTAAGTTTTACAAATTTCTGATTGTTTTTTATTTGTCTAGAAAGAGGTTTACTGTGTTTGTAGTAATTTAATAGCACTGGACAAAGATCAATTTAATAGCTAGAGTTTAATTCATTTAAGTATTATGGTAGAAGTGTTTAAAATTAGACTAATGTTTCAAGGGAAGTGGGAGTATTTGTTTTGTGATTTTTTTTTTCATGGTTTAGTCCCTCCCCACCCCCAACTTGTTTTCTAACAGTATGGTGTTTTTCAATAGACCTGCTTGGGTGGGAATTTGGACTTTGTTCTTTCAAGTCACTCCAGCCTTTCTTTCTTTTTTGAAAGACTAAACCTTGACTTATAAAATGTTGGTTAGGTGGTTTTCTGTGTGATTATTCACCTTGGTGAATTCTGTGTCATCTTACATTTTATAAGTCTGGGTTTGTTTTTCTTTTTAACTTGAAAAAGGAATTGTTCAGTGTTAACCAGAGATTGTGAGAAACTCAGACTGCAAACATCAACTCCATGAACTTCCTGTTAAATGGTGAGCTTAAACATAGTTTATTTGAGTAGCTGAGTTGTGTTTGAGAACTGTAGCTGATTTATTTTCAAAATGTTTTTCGGGGAGGCTTCATCTGTTAGCTTCTTCCTCATGTGAATGGAATGTGGTGCAGCGTGGAGCCCCAAACAGGATACAGTTGTTCTAAGCATTCTTCCTATAGTGTGGTAGGCCCTACTAGAAATGCAGGCTCGCAGCTCTGTTTTGGCTTTAGACTATTTTTAAAGTACGGTTAATACTGACAAATGGCCTTTAAAAAAAAAAAAAAAACTTGGCAATCTATTAATAATGGGAAAACTATTTTTGTTCCAACTAAATATTCAGTTTTAAGTTAGTAATTTTCAAAGCCGTTTTCGGTATTTGAATAAGTCTTTTGTGGATTAAGACCATACTTTTGTGTGATTTTCATCAGATGGTAGCTCATTGCTTCCCCTTAGGCTGTGGAAGTTCCTCATAGAATGAGATATATCTTTTGGAGTCCTTTATTAGTTATGCATCAGTTCCAGTTTCTTTACCTAGACCCCCTGAAATATTTACCTAAGATTTTCCATAAAAGCTGTGGGATCCAGTTGCTTTTTATTTAAACACATTTTAACCTAATATGACAGTCTGAAATATATTACACTTATGTACAAGTTAACAGTGGTTACATTGTTAATATGCATTTAAAATCAGAGTTTTAGCTGCATCAGTTCACCCTTTCTAACATTTTTTCATAAAGTAGGGGTAAATCACACAGATTCTCAGTGGCTCAGGTTAATATATGCTGAGTTTTAAACCAGTAGTATGAAAGTTTTTAGCAGGCCCATATGGCAATGTGGTTTAACTATAATTACAGTGTATCATTTACAACTTGTAGCACTTTTATTATTTGAAAAATAAGATGCCTTTTCATTTGAGGATGACTAAAAGTACTTTTGTCTAAAGTACATCCTTATTCTTTAAGAGCTCTCAAATTTGGCCATTCTAATTTGCATTCTGATAGCCAAATTTCACCAGTGGCTTTCAGTTACATACCTTAAAAACTTCAGATACTCTTTTTTTTTTTTTTTATTTTTACCTAAAGTCTGAGGCTTTTGTTCCTAATTAACTTGTAATTTAAGTTACAAGCTGTTGAATTTTACCACCACAACTCTGACCTACTTTGAAAAACAGAGCTTTGAGAGGTTCTTTTCAGCTGAATGTTTTTCATATTACAAAATGACTAGGTCTCATAGGAAATGCAAACCACCTGTATTATTTGCCTAAGAAAGAGGCACTGAAGACTTGAGAAGTTTACTTCTGTTTCACATCCTACCTAATTGGACCTTTTTGTTAACCTTCACAATTTGACCTGACTTGGTACTGTTAGAAAAGAAAAAGGGTGTTAAATAATTTTCAAAGATTAAAAATCCTCTTGAAGTGTTCTGAGTTTTTAGCAAAAACTTTAGTTTTCCATACTAAAAAACATCTGAACTAATCTCTTCATTTTACACTTGATCACGTAGCAGTAGGCATTTTTAAAATACCTACATAAATGCTCTTGGATTTCTTACAAACTTTACCATTTGTCAAAGAAAGCAACTGAATTTGATGCAGTGATAATGTAGGAATTATTTTTGGCAAATGGAAAATATTAGATGGCAACAGTAGCAGGGATAGTTAAATAATATTTGAAAATGTGATTTCTTACACAAATAAAATATTTTTGATAAACATGTGGTGCCTAAAAGGTTAAGCTAAGGCATAAGAGGAAGGATGCTGCTGTGATTAAAATTTCTAAGCATGAATTTTGAGAGTGAGTAGTTTTTTTTAAGTAATAAATAAGAAAACAAGATTTGTAAGTTCATTGTGTAGCTGGAATAGGATTAAGGCACTTTAAAATTTTTTTATTCTCAAGTGTTCTCATCTTTTAAAAAACATTGTTACAGACTGCAGGGAATCAAATTTGAAATCCTTTCACAAGTTTAAATACAGAAATTAACTCCTTGATAGCCATTCCAAAGATCTTGAAGAATTCCCATGGAGTATGCTTGTTGTGGTTAATAAGATGGTACAGTTCTTTAAAACATGTTTAAAAAAAAAAAAAGGCAGAACTCCTGAGAATTTTAGATATGTGTGTCAAAAGTTAAGTTGTAATGAAAAGGATTTCTTAGAGTAATTTAGAAACAGAGTTGGTTGTTAAATGTATTTCCTGGACTTTGAATGTTTTGAAGGTGGTAGAATTTTGTTTTTATTTTCAAGCTTCTGAAACTGTATTGTTGGTTTTTATTCAAGCTTCACTGAAACACTTGAAAATAAATTGTAATAATTATAAAGAGAAATATATACATGATGGTGTTCTTATTTTCTTCCTGTTTATACCTGCCTCTCAACTCCCACTGGAAGATATGAGGAAATCCTCTATGTGAAAGATGAGTCTCTTTTAAAATGAATGCCCAATGATACATTTAAGAGTAGCAGAAATTTAATTTTACTGCAGTGTACATTTTGTGAAATACTAATTACCAACATCTTTTTACTCTGTTTATGCTGCTTTCCTTGAAGTGGCAGGAGTTTTCAGTTGTGCTCAGGCTGTGGGCTGGGGTGGGGAGTACAAGGGGTGGAGTTAAAGACCAGATGCTTGCTGATCATTAAAAATCTTAATGTGAATGAGCTAGTAAAAACATGAATTGAAGTCATAGCTATTCTTTTTTATAAAGCATAATATTAGCCATAAAAAAGAGGAGGTTAAATAAAATTATTTCAGCAGCAGCTTCTGTATAACAGGATTTTTATTCTCCTGCTTATTTGATCATAACCTTTTTTAAACATAAACTATAACTTAATGTGTTGGAAAATGTTTATATCCCATTTTGAAAGTACATGATATTGGGTCATGGATAAGAACATTACCTGTTACATTATAATATGAAAATTAATATTAGTTGTTATCCATAGCCATTGTATTAGTATCACATTGATACTCATAGTTTGAGGATATAACAAAAAGTAACCATTAGAAATTTTTTCTCTCTGCTTTTCCTCTTGACAGACTTTCAAACCCTTGGTTGAAAAGAGTATACCCAGCTCAGTCACTGCAGTAGAATTCCTTGTAGATAAACAACTGGATTTTTTAACTAAAGATAGTGCCTTTCAGCCTTATCAGGTAAGATATTTTAAATTACATTTAAAAGTTAACTGTTCATTACACTTAATTGATGTTGGGATATTGATTCTTTTCAAATATTAAGTTTAAGTTAGCATTATTTGTGGAAGGATCCCAGTTAGTAAATTTAATTTGAACATAGACTAACTGATTTATTTATTCAAACAACAAATATATACGGAAAACTTTGAGCCAGGCAGTAATTTTTGTTGCTATAATTTTAAAAATGAACAAAACAAAGTCCCTGACATTCTTGATAATACTCATTGTTAGAAAATAACAGGTTAGATGTGAGGGGAAATTATCTTTGTCTCCACCTTAGAAGTTAAGAATTAGGTCAATTAATGTAATCAGATGAGATTAGCCTTTGCCATGTGCACTTGTTTCAGTTTAGCAGAGTAGTGGTCTTTCAGGGAATCTTGTGAGATTGTCCCTAATTGAATAATTGGGTAATTAAATATAAATGTGCTGGAAACTATTTTCTAATGGATTGTTAGATTTAAATTGTATCAACTTCACCAAATTTCTAGTGAAGCTAACTTTTAAGGTGCAAGTAAATTAAAATTTGTATATTTGAACTGCAGATTGAATATGTGAAATAATGTGATAATTATTTGAAAGGATAAGTACAATCTTTTCTAACAATTTTACTTTGTATTTTTGAACTGTGGGTTACTTATTTTATAGGTTTCTTAAATATTTTAAAATATATTACACTTGAAGGGAAGGATGAGTGAATTAGCTAAATTTTTTTTCTGATAGAATGCAAATTTCATTTCAGACTAGTTAGGCGTTCTTGAAAAAGTGGAATGTAGAGTCTTTTCCGTAGAAACAACCAGGGCTTCAATTACTAGTGATTTTTTGTGCATGGGATTGTACTTAGGACAGTGGAATAGTTCTGTTGGGTCTCTCAAATGGGATGCTAGTTTTTTTTTTTTTTTTTTTTTTTAAGATTTATTTTATTTTTATTGGAAAGTCAGATATACAGAGAAGAACTTCCATCCATTGATTCACTCCCCAGGCGGCCGCAACTGCTGGAGCTGCTCCATCTGAAGCCAGGAGCCTGGATCCTGGATCCTGGATCCTCTTCCATGTCTCCCACATGGGTGTAGGGAGGCTGTCCTCCACTGCTTTCCCAGGCCACAAGCAGGGAACTGGATGAGAAGTGGGGCCACCAGGATTAGAAACAGTTCCCATATGCGATCCCAGTGCATGTAGGGTGCCGGCTTTAGCTACTAGACTACCACACTGGGCCCTGAGGATGCTAGTTTCTTCCATGAATATCATTCTGTGTTATTTTTCTTTAGTCTTCAAATGACCTAGTTTCTTGTGTTATTGGGCTACGATCTTCATAATATTTATAGTTAGAAACTCACAGTAAATTCCAGTCTCACAATGAATGTGTTCAAACTTTCCCCTCACTTTCATTTTGTTTCTGATTGCTAATGCCTTTTAGCTTAGTATAGGTTTTAGTAGGTGAATCCAGGTGAAACCAAGGGGAAGCATCAGGATGCTTCATTTTGTTTTGTGTTGTTACCCCTTTGTAAGTTTCAGATTGGACTTCATTTAGAGAAGTGAAATTGTGGTGTAGAAATTGGTTTTAAAAATAAACTCTTGCCAGATTGCCTAAAAATCTATATGTTTATTTAAAATTATGGTAGGAAGAATATGCTAACAAAATTTTTTCCCTAACATTTTCAAACTGTTGTAAGGATTCTTATCAACTAGGAAAGATGGATTGTGATCGTCTTTGTTATTAGGCTGTTTACACTAATCTATGTGGAAGGTGACCTCAGGCTGAGAATAATACTGTATCTTCCAGGGGAGAAGTGATTCTTTTGACATTCTGACCTTTTTTAAAATTTCCTCAAAAAAAAGGTGAATTCTCAGTTTCAAAAGATCAGAAGGAACTTGTTAGGGGTACTTGTTTTAAGACCTATATACTTTTATCTGAGAATTTATTATGAATTTTAGAAGTAGTTTATTGCCATAGAGCTTTTGTATATGTGCATTTTTAAAATATTTATTTTTATTGGAAAGGCATATGTACAGAGGAGGAGAGACAGAGAGGAAGATCTTCCAGCTGCTGATTCACTCCCCAAGTGAGTGCAGCGGCTGGTGCTGCGCTGATCCAAAGCCAGGAGCTAGGAGCTCGGAGCTGCTCTGTGTCTCCCACACGGGTGCAGGTCCCAAGGCTTTGGGCCTTCCTCAACTGCTTACCCAGGATACAAGCAGGGAGCTGGATGGGAAGTGGAGCTGCCGGGATTAGAACCGGCGCCCATATGGGATCCTGGCATGTTTAAGGCAAGGACTTTAGCCGCTAGGCCACGCTGCCGGGCCCGTATATGTGCATTTTTTTTTACAACATTTTTAAGTTGTGATTTTATTTGAAAGACACAAAAAATCTTCTATCTGCTGTTATACCTTCCAAATGTCCCCAACTGAGCTGGGCCAGACCATAACCAGGATCCTTGAAATTAGCCCAGGTACCCTCATGTGTGTTAAGGACCCAAGCAGCCATCATCTGCTGCTTCCCAAGGCATTCATTAGCAGGTAGCTGCCATCACAAGTGGAGACCAGACTCTGGAGAGTACCAGGCCTTACAGAGAAGAGAACAGCTATCCCAAGCAGTGTGTTAATTGCTGTGGTAAATATCCCCACCCTAACCCACCCCGCCCTGCCCTGTTCTGCTCCACAGTTAAGTATATGTGTGTCTGTAATTTCTTTTCCCCAATCAAGATTAAAAGCATGAGGTTACTTCAGAGCTGATGAAAAACATGTAAATATGCTGGGTGGCAGACATTGGCCCAGTAGTTGAGTTGTGGGTTACAAAACCACAAGTGTTGAACCCTGGCTAATGCGAACATTTGAGGAGTGAAATAGTGGATGGGAACTTACCTTCCAGTTCTATTTTTCTCTCTCCTTCTAAAATTTAAAAAATTATTTCTGAGTCTGTGTATGGATTTTTTTTTAAAGATTTATATATTTTTATTATACAATCACATACCTGGAAAGTTCCATCCAATGATTCATTCACTCCCCAAGCGGCCACAACAGCTGGAACTGTGCCAGTCTGAAGCCAGGAGCCCGGATCTTCTTACAGCTCTCCCACACAGGTACAGGGTCCCAAGGCTTTGGGGCATCCGCAACTGCTTTCCCAGGCTGCAAGCCAGGGAGCTTAATGGGAAATAGAGGTGCCAGCATTAGAACTATAGTACATATGGGATCCTGGTGCATGCAAGGCAAGGACTTTTACCACTAGGCTACCATGCTGGGCCCTTTGTGTGGATTTTTAAAAAGATTTTTGGCATCAGAATAAGCATGTCTTTTAAAATTCCATTTTCTGTGAACTTTTAAAAATGTAAATGCCTTGAAAAACAGACAGAGATAAGTGAAATCTTCCTCTGCTGGTACATTCTCCAAAAGTTTGCAGTAGCTTAGACTGTGGCAGGCCAAAGGGAGAAGTCTAAGACTCAGGTGCGTTAGCAGGAAACTGGATCAGGGGTTGAGGAGTTAGCTGTGGAAGCCAGACTAAGATATGTGATGTGGGGGACGAGAGGTACCTTAATTGCTGTGCTTAAATGGCTACCCCTGTGAGCTTTTTGAAATGCATTCATATAAAAATATTTTTGTAAGATTCTAAATCTTTTGTGCTTTTCGTTAATATTTGCTCCAGAAATCTAAGATGGTTCAATTTAGTTTACTATGCTTTACGAAATATGGACTTTTTACAGAGAAGAGAGGCAATGTTCCATTTGCTGGTTTACTCCTAAATGGCCACAATGGCCCAGGCTAGACCAGGCCCAACAGGATTCTGGAGCTTCTCGTTGTCCCATGTAAATACAATGGCCTAGGTACCTTGGCTTTCCTGCACTGCTTTCCTAGGTTTAGGGAGCTAGATCAGAAGTAAAGCAAGCAGCACTTGAACCCAACTTACACATAAGGCCGTTGTTTTACTTGCAGCACCACTATACCTGCTTCAATACAAGCTTATTCTACAAAAAGCAAAGAACTTTAGAGCTTATATGATTAAAACAGTTTACTTCCAGAATGCTTTTCTCTAATCCAGTAGTACATGTCACTATATTGTAAATCTCATGGGTTTTGACTTAACTTAATCTTAGGATTGTCTTGTGTAAATCAAAAGGATTTTCTGTACATCTGAATAAACTTTTGGTCTTTTTTTTTTTCTTCTGTGAGTTTCATAAGGAAGTTGCTTTTGAATATTGATGCTACTTTTTGTTTTATTTGGAAGGCAGAGTGACAGCAAGCGATAAAAATATTCATTCACTTGGTCACTATCAAATGGCCTCAACAGCAAAATTTGAGTCTGGTTGAAGCCAGGAACCTAGAACTCCTTCTGTTTTCCACTTGGGTAGCAGGACCTGAATTTCCTGAACCATTATCTGGTGTGCACTAGAAGGGAGTTGGATGAAAAGTTGTGAGGCTAGTACTGTTACATGGATGGGGGATGCTCACAGCCGTGCCACAACACCTGCTCCAGAAACTTTTTAGTTCAGTTCAAGCAGCTTGAGAAAAGAGACCTGCTGGTTCAGTCCCCAAATCCTACAATAACCAGCCCTAGGACAGGTGAAAGCCAAGAACTCAGAATTCCATCTGCCTTGGGCCCATGGAATTGAACCCATCATCTGCCACTTCCTATGATGCATTAGCAGAAAGCTGGATCCCAAGTAGAGTATTAAAACAACTTAACCTCCACGTCCACAATGACTTACCAGACTATGAAGCCTACCACAAGTCTGTTTGAAATGAGCATTTACTATGTAATTTTTTGGTCTAGATTTATGACTACACATAAGTTTAAGGGCTCAGAAATGATGCTCGGAATGTAACTGAATGAGAGCTTTTGTCTATTACTTTTTTTCCCTTCATAGTATTTGTTCTGTAGCAGTATGTTCCATTTAGTTACTAGTTACATTTTTTTATTCATCATGATACTATATAGATATGCAGTAAGGTAATAGCTAATAAATGATGAA